GCTAAAAAGAGGCAGAAGACTATTCAAACTTCACAAATTCCCAATAATACATCAAGTATCATGTATGCTTGAGTCTGTCCTCAAATGCCTTTGTGCTAGGTTCTTTGGTGCTCTGCAGCTAGGAAAGGAGCTGTCAAGTTAATGTAATGCCTCAATCTGCATCTTTCTTTGAGTTGGAGGAATGATGTAGTAACTGTTGTGGAAAGGGCTAGTCCAAACTAATTGGGAAGAGGTGGGTGATGACAAATGCACGTGTATAATGATCCACGAGGGAGTCCAGTAAGATTTTCATCTTAAGTACAGACAGCAAATGGGCTTGATTTCCTTTTCCAAAAGGAATAGTGTGAGGAGGAGAGAAGTGTGACTGGGTTTGACCTGTCTGGGTAGGGAAGAGGCAGAGAGACCTCAGGTGTCCAGCATCTTTGTGGGGAAGGTTGTGTGTGGGCTGTAATGATGGTGCCATCATTTAATGTGCTTGGGCGAGTGGTCCATATGTACTCCTGGTCGCTTGGGAGAGGCTGCAGTTATATTAGCAATACATCTGCTATATGGTAGGAGGAGGAAAAGTGTTTCTGGGAAGCAGTTTCAGGCAGGGCTCTTTCCCCGACTGTCAGTGATGGGATGCACTCCCTCCACCCCTACTCTGTAGGTGGAAAGTCACTCTGTCCTCATTAGAATTAAAGTGTAATATTTTCTGCCTCCTTCACACATTGGATTTGAGTCTCCAGGCTTCCTCCTCATTTGCCAGTGCTGGTCTTGGAGATGCTGGTGCAATCTGGTTTCTTCTGTGGCGAGGCGTCTGTGTTATGAGCTTGGATCTGAACGCTGTAATTCCCTGAGAAGTCTTCTCTACAGCAGGAAAAAGACTGTAGTATAGCCGGGAAGAGTCAGTTTTCTATGGCTTCTTCTATATTTACTATGAGAAACCACACAGTACTTTTTGAAGAAAACACCACTTAGTATCTCAGTTACTATTTCATCTGGTATCAGCTGTTTCATCACTTGTTCCACCACAGGGCCAGTGAAATGTAGATAATTCTTGACAATTTTTTGTCCATCATATTCTCAGAAATCCCACAATGCCCCAGACAACCTGAACCATGGTTTACTACCTTCACTAAAACATGTTTCTGAGTGGTTATATTTTCTATGGCTTTATCCAATCATGAACTGGTAAACAAGCACTGCTGATGTGGTTTCACAGGGTCCTCCCCTGCTCTTTTTCAAGAAAAAAACACCATTCAGCGGAGAAGCAGAGCCCATCAGTAATTAGTAAGGAACAGGAAGAGAAATGATGAGGATTAGCAAAGAGTGAGGAGAAAAAGAGAACTCCCAAGTGTCAAATAGGAACATCTTGGATTAACTGGTCTGAGGAGCCTGTGAACAGGAAGAGCCTTTGCGCATCTCAGTGTAGTAATAGAAAGAGCGAGGAGGCCAGACTAAAATAAGTCTGAACTACAAAGTTGTCGTGACATGACTGAGAAATCAGGGGGATGAAGGAAGAAGAATTATGTGGTCATGGTGGCAGATGCTTCACCAACTTCTCACAGGTCAGCCAGAGAGAAAAAGACTGATTATGTAATCTATCTGAAACCAGCATATTTGCATAATTAACCTTAATTTCCCCACGGGATTCATTTTCCACCCGTTGTTTGAACTGCAATTCTCAGTTCCACAATGGTTGGAACAAAGTGTGATTTTTGATTTCAAAAGCTCTGATTCCTCCTTTTCTTGCGCCAATATTTAATAGCTGAACCAGACAACCCCAAACCCAGGGTCATTCATTTAATACCAAAGAAGATGTTCAGAAATCTACGCAGTGCAATAGTGAGATGGCTGATCCAGTTGGTAGCT